TAAAACTGATGGCTGTGCCCTCACGCGGGGACGCTGCGCCTAACTATAGGTAACCATTCAGGTGCCAGTGTAGTCGATGATCTCGGTAAGCACGCAATCTGCACAGAGCTACTCAATTACACAAAGAAATCACTTCACCTTGTAATGGGTGCCTCATGAAAAAAAGTAAAAAAGCAGCATGGGCATGCAGTTGATTACTCAGTGACTGCTTTGCTTGAAATTATTTCCGCAATGCGATGTACCTGCAGAAATATTCTGCGAACGAATGAAACTCATTCTAGAACATCGGAAAATAACTTTTTGCGACAAAAGTGGCTCCCTTAGTCTAAGGGCCCCAGTGGTCTGTACCTCTTGTGAGCTCTGTCGACCAGCTTGAGCTTTTTGTCAGACCTCCGGCAGGACAGTGCAGCGTACCACTACTAAGGTGCTAGTATCCTATTTTCTGGCCCACACCTTTGAGTTTGGACAGGCCCATGTTTTGCGAGTAGGCTGCGCAGGTCCACATAATTAAGGCAGAACCTTCTAAGCCATGTCAACCTACATGCTAGCATAAGTGTGTAAAGTTGGCTTTGCGTTTTGGCATAACTGGACTGCTGTGAAGACAGCACTTGTAAGGCCTATATTATCTCATTTATTTAAAAATGTGACGGCGTGAAAGCCCGTTCAGGATGATTTGATTAAGTTTTATCTGTGTCCTGATGTTGGCTTAACGTCATGGTGCTCCAGCCTCGACAACTAAAGCCGTGATATAACGTGAGAAAGCTGGGCTTTTGTTCGTAAACACCACCCTAATTCCAGATGCTAGCCATATACAACTTCGCTGCACGATTGATGTAACACAGCTACAAGGAAACATATTTGTACGCACACACAGGCACACATGCACGCGCATAAATCCTAGAGGTTGTGCGGCATTCCAGATCTGATTTCAGCAGGAATGAAAGTAGCGCTACGCTAAACATACCTGTAAATATGACGTGTAACACGCAAAGAACGGCAGGAGCACAACCAATTTCCGTAAAACAACTTGATCCCAGGTGTCAAGGCGGAATAGTCGTCCGCAACACCAGCCGATGTTAAAGAGAAAGTAACAGCTCATGACGCACTGGCAGAATCAGTAGAGTCACGCTGTTCCAGAGCTTTTCATAGCTTTGAAATAAGTGGATTGCGCCATCTACCGTATGTAGCTTCTTGGCGACGAGCAGTTGAAATGCGTCTTAAGGCACACATTTCATGCAGAACTGCATCTTTCAAATGAGCAGCGCGAAAAAGAGGAACACAAGAAGAATTATAGCTAACCACAAGGGGCTTTCTTACAATCAACAAAATTATCCAACTTGTCCAAATGTCGGTTCTTCTGCAGTATATTTCAAGATGTATTTGACCATCTCGGTTTCTGTCATAGCCTGGTTTCCATTATGGAAAAAGTCGATCACATGTTTCATGGAACTGGTGTAGTGTCCTGCTTGGGATGTAAAAACAGCGCAAAAAATGTAGACAAGGACGAAGAAGGAAATTACACCGCGCTTCTTTTGTCCTTGTCTACATTTTTGCGCTCTTTTACAACCCAAGCATGAACCACCAACTAGTCCAACTTTCTCTATTAGTATAGTTTCCATTACTTGGCTCTGTTAAGCGCGCAAGTGTTGTTCAACCCATACCTTGTAAAGCGATGGATGGCTGAACGAATTTTAAAACGCCGTTCTGAAGGTTGACCAAGGCGGAAAAGGCCCTCTCGTGATTACGGTAATACTGATAGTCGGTGCCAGTTATATAGAATCTAACGATCGTAAGCTTGCACGCGTCGTCCCGTTCGTTGTGATTGCTCACTAGGTCATATTCATCAAGCCAATCTTCTACGTTCATCTCACCGGTACCACGGAAGAAAGGCGCAGTGCGTTGCTGAATGGGACTACAAGAGGCAAGAGCCGGAGAGTTGGAGCCTAGGCGGAAACCTGTTATCTTCGTTCGTGTGCGTAATGACAACTGGAGGCAATGTATATATACTGTTGAAGTTCCAAAATTACCCTTCTTGACTCGTAGGTGCCCATGTGTAATGTTTATTGCATTGCTATCAAAGAAGGTAGCCAACACCGCGACAGTAGTTGAGGTTGCCCCAACATGACTCGGTATACGCTATTAAATAAAGGAACTTGGTTGCCTGTCTCGGCTCTGTACGCAACAGTTTAGAATTTATTTAGTTTGGGACTGTTTTTCATTTATTACCTGATGGTGTTCAAGATATTAATCGGTCATAGAAAACTCATGGGTCAGATGGCGACTCCAATCCTGATCTTTATTATGTGCATCTGTTTGTGTTTACCTCTCATTCTGAACTCCACCGACGCCAACAACAGATTTTTGGCAACAGGCCTCCTTAGCTCCCTCGTTATAATTTGCATTATATGGTATTCCCGTAACTGGGTTGGTACAAACGCTCAATCACCTGTGGTACACACCTAAATACTATAACCCCGTGCTACTTAGACAAGATTCACGCGTGAATAGAGGATATGGTTTCGTGTCGTGACAGGCTTTGCAAGTTATTCTTGCGATGACCTGGTTGTCATGTCTGTCACTGACTGCTGTCCTCCTGCGCCAATTTCGGTATATGAAAAGTTGAGGAAGCCAACACGAGAGTACCTATACCTAAATGTCTCGGTAAACACGTAGAAATGGTGAATGTCATTTTGCTTCGTCAATAACGCTTCACGGTTGTCATTATTGAGGTCAGCACTGACGTGCTCCCTGAAAATCTGAAGCTATATGCCCCTAAGAAATGACCTAAATGTGACAATAACTGACATTACCTTATCGTTAACTGACATTTTGATCAAGTTCTCCCACTTCCCTCATCCTCTTCTGTGGTACACAAACACTTTTTAATAGGCCCTCACGATGAGGTGAGTTTGAGATGCTACTTTAAACAAAAAAAATATAAAGTGGCACAGTCAAACTCAATGAAAGCATTATTCCATTGATTTCCACAGTAGCAATTAAAGTGGCAGGTAATGTAGCGAAACAAAAACAACAGAGTTTTTCTAATGCAGCGAAAGCTCAATAAAGAAAGGACAGCTGTTGATATTGATAATCACAAGACAAGGACTTGTTTATCTATCAACCCCTGATCAACAAACAAGTAATTAGCGAGCATAACGGCTGATGACTTGAAAGAGATAGAAGCATTTCTATAGGAATAGAAGCGGCAACGTCAAATTGAGTACAATAAGACTGCGTAAGAAGAACAAATAAAGCTTCATAAATGTAAGCACAGCCGTATCATAAGCTATTTTAATGACACGCTAGAAATTTCCGAAGAATTTACCTTAACCTCACGTTTCGCACACGGCTCATTCAACATCAGTCAAATAAGAGACGAATGAACCCGTCATACCCGACTACCGTTCACGTCAGCTATAAATGTCCTATACGTGACATGTGCCAGTGAAAGGCAGCCTGAAAAAACTGCGTACCAGTCGGTAAAAAGAAAGATGGCATTTACGTCAAGTTACTCACAGGCAAGACATCGTACACAGACCACTTAATAACCTAAAACGTACCGCTGTGCTGTAATAATCTCAATATTAATACAAAATGAGATACGTAGCACTTGAAAACCTGTAAGTCAATCAGCATTACACTCAGTATAACGCATATCAATTATGCACGTATTGAATAAAACGAATATACTAGTTTGGTCAGACAAAAGTACAAGTTCATTTCCGAAACTGATGAACTACAATGCATCATAGCTGTGCTAATTATGAGTCACCTGTAAATTAGGTCTGTGAAACTGAGCTTGTTTTATTGTTTACGCGGAAATCAATTATAGTGGGGGCTCACTAAGTGCTGGCGATTTGGCGCCACTTACCAATTTCTTGGTACCACAATGTAGAAAAACTTAACATGACTTTATTTTCTTTTACAGCCTTCTATTTGAAATGCCGCCTCACAGATGGCTGTGGAAAGAGCGTGAAAATTGTCGCTTCTTCAAAATACTGAACACAGTGACAACGGTTACAACGCAACTGGGCGCCACCGTATTCATCAATATTGAAATGACACTGATGGTTGGATCATTCATTTTGAATCCGTTGACTTGACGTTTGAGCCGCGTTTTTTGTTTGATCTTGTTTTAAGTTTCTTTTTTTATTAGGTTCAGAATGGCTATTACGTGTGTGCCTATCAAGAAAACACTAGCCGGCGAGTTGCTCTGCACGTGTATTCGACCTGTGCCTGTGACTGATAGAGACAACTGATATGCTAGTTGCTATAAAGATTAAATAAAAACGTATCATCCTTGGCAGTTCACGCACTGTGAGAGAGATAACAGACCGAGTTGTCGTCGACAGGAAGCGGAGTAGAGGACCGGCAGGTGTTAGGAGTGTTGACGAAGTGAAAAGGGAATGGAAACGTAAAACAGGAGCATTGCCGATCACTGAAACAGGTTTATGTGCGGCTGCGGAGAGGAAAGGGACTCGTCACATATAATAATAATAATAATAATAATATAATAATAATAATAATAATAATAATAATAATAATAATAATAATAATAATAATAATAATAATAATAATAATAATAATAATAATAATAATAATAATAAAATAACATTACGCAGTATGTTACAGTAATAAATGTGAGGTTCTGCAAGAAAAATTATGCTTCAGAGTTTGGTTCCTCTGAATCAATATATAGCATTTTAATGAATAAAATAAGATACGCGTTGGGGCAACGCAAAGCTCACAAGATGTACAACAATTGTAAGGGCAGAAAAATGGTAGCATTTCATCCTCTGATGAAAACTGCAAGCTCTCGCCAACTTTCCATTGACTTACGTCTGAAGGTAAATCAAGCAGTAAGGCGAGTGGCAATGATTCACTGTAATTGACTTTTAAGGCTTCAGCATATTAATACTTATTTTTTTTATCGGTGTAAAAGCGTCCTTTTTAGAACGAAAGCCTTACAGGATATATACTTGGTGGTACCTAAATATCTTGCAGTATTGTGCCGTCACCGTAGCGAAAATAGCTCAGGTAGCTTCAATACGAATATATGCTTGGGGTGCCCAAAAAGTATCAAGTAGACTGGAGATGACGAGTACCATTTGTATTTATTGAATTTTTTTGAATGCCGCTTAGAACGAATACTATTTTTAACTGAAATTCATGCTACATGAAAACAGAATGAAAGCTGGAGTCTTGTCCAACCAGCTGTATGTCACATTTCTGCTTTTATGTAACCAGGTCTTCAAAGGTACGTATAGGTTTGTTACCTATTGTACACGCCCATTTCTGCGTTATATGAGTCAATATTGTGGTGCATGTGTTCATAAGCGTTAAAAATGTTAAAGTGTGTAGAAATGAGGAAACGTTTCCTTAGAATTTGCCACATTATGAATTGCTTTTGAAACCCCGCATCTTGTCTCAACCTTTCAAGTCTTTTGTGCACAGGGCTTAATTTCTGGAGAGCAAGAGAGTTTATCGAAATTATAAACACTTTTGCAAAAAATAATTTTCTCACAAAAATAAAAACAAATGTCAATATCAGTTTAGAAGATATGAAAAGACGACCTGAGGAGACCACACTTTCACTGAAAGTACCGCTATTCATCACTATTGTCCTTAGTGATAGTTACTCGTACTACATGCTCTCCAGCACTATCAACGTAATAAAAAGAGCACGTACTTTTGTATCCATAAAAATATGTCGAGTCTGCCGTCTAGCGCACCTTGAGGACAACGGTGACTGGGTGAAAGCAAACGTATCATGTCATGCTGAAGCCCTAACGAAATTGCATCATCTCTGCGAGATAGCGAAAAGCTTTAAAATATGCGCCAGTTTAAATACTACAACCGTGGTGTAGTATTAAAAAAAAAGCCTTTAATTACGCGTCAACCTAATTTTCCGGCGTGCGGCTGCTACCACAGCAAAATGTACACTGGAGTTTCATAAAGTTTCTTTTCCCAACTACGATGCGTTCTGGAAACATCTGAGGAAGCCTTCAGATACCAAACTTTCTGCCAAAACCGTGTACTTACAGGCCGCTAGAGCTGGTGTCAGGTTTACCATTGCAGGCCGCCTTAGACCAAAATGACTACTTTATTCTGACTAGGAAAATTTGATGTTGAAGACACGGCTATTTTTTAACTACATCAAACTTGTGTTTGGGCGTATTTTATAGCCAATTTCTTTATTGCCTGTAGACAAAACAACGAAAAGACTAAAGATCACCCACTGTTTTCAACCTTTTCATCACGTAAGGATATGCGCGCGTATGCTTTGTCAAGAACAAGAGAATGAGACACACCAAGGCAACCCACGTAAAACAAATAAAAAAGCACAAAAACAAAGCGACTCTATATTTATGTTCATTCTAGTATAACTTTGTGTTTGTGATTTCAATGAAAAACTGCTTCGATATTTTACGCTACCAATAAATTTTTGGCGGCATAGCTCAAAATTACCTTGTTTCTAAGATGAAACATATCCTGCGTAGATATATTCGTACACAGCAAACTTTTACTAACAAATACGGTATTGTTGCTGGGCCCCACGTGTACCACATGCATCGTATGGTTTATATGCTAAAGGTTAAAAAAAATGCAAGGTTCTTGGCCTCCCAAATAAGTAACATTCAGCCCATCGGCATCTTGAAGAGCGTTGCACTATACCATATAACCAGTCACTTCTTATCAATATTTGTATTCCCATTCATATCATGCAATATTAACAAAAAAAATGTAATTTTGTTCTCTCTACAATCGTATTGTTAAGATAAGACCAACAAAATACAGCCTTTCCGCTTTTTTCTGCATAGAAATTTTTGCCGATGGAGAAAATTTTATTTGCCAAAGCAGTGCAGCGTCACAACAACCCACTCATATACGACGGTATTAGATATTGCATCGCTTTGGTTATCGACCTTACGTATTTTATATTCTAAAACCCGGAGCTTAGTTACAAATCTGTTGGAAGTCAGCTTTTTGTTTTTTTAAATACTTTTTATGTGCCTTATTAAGTTTGTGTTTTATCCACTCCATTTACTGATGATATTTGCCTTGACGTAAATAAAGAAGTTATTAAATAATATATAATAATTTTTTTCATCTCACCAGTGATTTTAAGAGTAATAAGACAAAAATATTGCCTTATATTGATGTTCTTGCATACTCTAAAGCATACTTCGTTTTTAAAACATTAGGTACGATAGTAGTTTAGTAGTTCCCTACATATATAACAATCAAGTTAGATGGCTAGCTGAGTGTGTATATTTGCAGCTTAAATTCTGGACTTCAACTCCACCTAACGGCAATCCTCGCTGGTGTCATAGCGAATTGTAGCTTGGCCGGGATACCTAAAGCGGCTCTGCAACACTTTTTGAAAAGTGTGAGAAAACATTGCCTATCGGTAGTAGAGGCTCCCAACAACACGCGAGCTAAATGTTATGGCGGCACATACAAGCTAGTATTCACAATAAATTATCAAAGTCAGCTAAAATTTGCTTACTCTTCTATCGGCAATTGACGGAAGACGCTCAAAAATCACTCCTAGAAAGCCGATCTATCAGCAATTGGCTGATACGAACATAGCGTGCTCGGTCGTTACAGTGATCGCTGCGGGAAGCCACGACTTTTCCACGCATTTGCGTGCGATCACACTGACAAAGCTGTGAATTCAAAGGGAAAAAAATTTAAAAATTGCCAGAGGTCATGAGGCTCGCCTGACGTGTTTTTTTTTTTTTTTTGCCCTTGCCATCTCTTCCTGCTTAGCTTTTAGCCCTTTCGTCAGGACAAGAGAAGAGAGAATGCAATCGTATCATGGGAGAAATGTTTTAGCTCCGCCGGACTTGACAGATTCTAATAAGTTTGGCGCGTTGAATTTGTGAAGGAATAAGCTCTTCCAGCAAATTCTTTTATACGGTTACTTAAAACAGTGGTTCAGGGCTCCTTCAATGAATACTCGAACTTTAAAGCGACGTTCTAGTATGTCTCAGATTGTGCTTTACTGATCTTTTAGTACCTATAAATCTTGCATTGACCTTGAGATCACACTTTAAACCACGCTAGCTGTTCCTGAATGGCTCAAACAAAACCATCTCACCAGTGATTACAAGCTGTATGCATCAAACGGTATTTCAATAGAAAGAGAAGGCTGACGAACTGATGCCGCAGTCATGGCATTAGGTGAACAACAGAAATGAAGCTCAGGAAAGGGATGCAACCAGCTGGTCCATGTCTACTCATAATAACCTAGACGCTTACGAAAAGGCGTAGACTTGAGCAAAAGTCAAAACCACCACTCGTTCACAGCTTGCGCCCATTACATCCTCCTTAGAACTAATTGCAATAAGAAAATATGGACATCCCGATTACCCCAACCACCGTAGGTACACGTCATCTTTTAATCACATGTCGAGAGTTTGTACAGAACGCTTTCAACCAAGAACGTACAATTATGTCCCTGTGTGACGATATAAGATTCACAGTACAATGTTTAAGTTATAATTATGTCCTCTTCGTGTCTTCTATAAGCGTGCATTTGTGACGCTGTCCTTCATGATTTTCTAACATAGACGTGATGAAGGACTTTCATTGTACGGAATGGCATGGCTCATGATCGTCATCTCATAGCACACGAATTGATCTTAAGCTTCAGTATAAATTTTCCCTCAGATGACCTATGTGTCTACAGCGTCACACAATGTGGTATTTCCTTGCAATGAGTTAACGCCTGCGCCACAGCTAGATTAGGAAAAAAAAACACGAATAACCTGCCCTGTGCCACGAATAAAAGAAACTTTTCGTTTGATTATTTTCTTTTTTTCAGGGCTCGCATATCGAGCTGTTGTTTATCCTAAGTTATTCGAAGGCAGAGACGAAAACACAAAAGTTTTGAAAATAAATGACGAAATAACATTGAAGCTGCGGCCAAGCTCAATCCTTCGTGAAGATTTCTTCGTGCGAAAGTATCGCGAAGATGTTCCAGAATACAAATACGTATGAAGTTTGTTTTTAAACTTGAACTTGTGAAATTAGTGTACGCCGCTCATATATCTCTCGTAAAAAATAACATTTTACTTAGTGAGAAATATTTTAGTGCATTGTTGGCCTCTGGCCTTTCTAATCATCTGGCCAATTCAGAAGGAAGATACACAGGTTATTGTTTGTTGGCTTGCTTGCTTTTGTGAGTGGAATCAGGTATGGTACCATGTAAAAAGAAACGCCATCGACATGCTTGACATATCTGACAATCTGCAATCATCACTTATATTTGTATCAAAAGGGCACGCCCACCCAGTTTTTCAATGATATAACTGTTTTTTATGCACACGTATAACCGCCGTTATACCGTGCCTACTTACCACATTTATGCCATGCATCTCATCCAACTGCCAGGAGTGCCGATTCAGTTGCGAATTTTCGAAGCACAACGAATTGATAGATTTTGTGTATGATAAAATATCCTGAGACCACCCTTTGTTATGAAAGCTTTCGTCGCCTTTAAGGTACTCTGTTACTGTTTTATGTTGTACGTAGTGTGTGAGCACAAAGCAACTTCAATTACTGAATTGGTGTGGTTTACATTTGTTTTTTTGTTAGATCGTACTTTGTCGTGTAACTTTCCTGTTTCTCTATAACTGGAGTTTCGTGCAGTATCACAATTGATTTTGTCAAATATAGGCAGCTGCGCCAATATTTCTCTTTGGTCCAAAAAAGAAGAACTACAAAAAGCACAATGGTCATTAACACACAGTTAAAAAGGCAGCATTTTAACCAATCTTGAAAAAGCTTTTACTAAGGAAAAATTTGTCTTAATGCGTAGAGGCGGTATTAAACAAATACATTTCTTGCATCTGCAGTTCAATGTCGAAGCATTGCAGCAAGATCTGTACCACGACGCCCAACAGCTGGCATCTGTCGCCATGACTGAAAAAGATGGCTTGCTGCGAGTGGTATGTATATTAAGTCTGAAAGCTACCCAAAAATTCAATATTCTGCTAACACCTTCCAAACAAACTTAGATTGAATATTCGCAATATTTATAAATCATAATGAAGGTGAACAAGTCTTTTGAATAGATCCTTCAGACACTCCGCATTGGTCTACTTCACTGAATTTCATAGATAATTCCACTAATTGTTATGCACTGTGCTCCTGAGGTAAGATAATTTTTAATAAAGAAACTATGGCTTTACAGATTTCATAAAGAGCTCGCCATATGTTTGCGATAAACTTCATGTTGGAAGCGATCAGTAGCCTTCCAGGAATGAGAAGGATGCCTTGAGTTGGGAGGGCCAAAGTATTGGCTATTAGTAGTAATAATATCAAGACTAAAACATTTTATCAAAGGCTATTTGGTTGTACATGGTTGACGCTCTTCGCTGTTTGAGCACGAAGACACACGAAAACCAAAGTGCAACACAGCGCAAGTGCACTCGCATTGTACTCTACCTGAGGCTTTAGTTCTTTTTTCTGTTCAAGCAGCTTGTCTCAAGTGTCAGCCTAGAGTTAGCTCACACTTGCTTGTTTTGTGAAGGTTTGTTTGTTTTATTTCATGTTCACTCCTTTCTGAACATTGAGCTTGAGAGAAACGTTATAGTTCTTGTGCTATTACAATATATAGGCGTCAAAAAATACACATTTTTTGTACTCAAATGTATGCTCCGTATTTTTATGACTGAATGCTTAGATATTGGTATGCACGTCATAAACCCCAACCCGAATATAAAAATGAAAAACTGTTATTTGTACTACTTTTTCTGGACCAAGGTCGCTTGGAAAGTCAAGGGACAGGTCTGTGCAAGACCATTACTTTGACTTCGCTCACGGCTTCATTTCATACCATCGGCGCCACTAGCCCAACAGCACTTTAATTACACAGCTATGAGATGTATCTTGTGCTGCACAATGGCGAAAAAGAACACTGTGCACTTTATGCAATGCACGTATGTTGTTTGTGATACCAGCACATCATTTCGTGAACCTGGCACTACATCAATAAAATGAGAATGGAGTGTGCTTTGATCCTAAGCAAGTGGCAATCCACTAGGCTAAACTTTTAAACTTTACGATAAAGATTTTGATCAATAGAATACTCGTTTCCTTGGTTTTTTATTACTGTTGTGGCAGTACAGATGTTCTTTTATTATGCTGGCTTAACGTTGAATAAAAAAGTGTCTGCCAAAAAAGTTCGTACAAATGGTCAAGGAGCGTAGCTAAATCATGCTGGAACAGGCTGTCCTGGACGCTGCCGCCGAAGCTCAAGTGCCGATAGCAAAACTCCATAGAAAAAAACAACGTTGGCCCCAAGGAACGCATTGCCGACATTGCTACGTTCAAGCTATTCTGACCACACCACCGCTTGTTCGGCTCGCCGTTGTCGCATCCGTGAGCTTGTCGCGGTCAGCAACATTCGTCCGACATTGGTGCGAGCGTTTTGCTTCGCTATTTAGCTCGGCTTGTAGGTTTACCGGATCCCCGGTACGTAGTTGCGGCTTGCTCTTCTCCACCCAGGCATGTTCTTGAGCTCAGGCTGCAGCATCGGTCCGGCGAAACGAATTCTCTCACCGTTCTACTGTCGGTGCTATTCTTCGTAAGTTCTCTGCGGTTCGAAAGCTCGTACAATGAGTGGCCTACCCACGTGGATATTTCGAGCTCAAACAGCTGCGTGCGAGGTCGGCAACACGGTTAGGACGGGATAAATGACGACATCGATAGCACAGCCAATCATATGTGCACCTGGGTACGATGTGGGTAACGACGTAACTCATGGAGAAGCCAAAAGAAAATTTTCTATAAACGTCATGACAGACGAATTTTCGTTTCACCAAGCCATATATACAGGTTTCGTGGTAACATGGACCGATATATAGTGTATAATTCTTAATCGTTTAGAATAGTATGTCACAAAAATAAAATGCGTCACGCCATAATGGTGCGTATACCCGTGATTACGGTGGCGGCATGATGGGAGATGTGGTACGTGTATATGTGCATTTGTCCGTAAAATGTTTTTTAGTTGTGCCCTGTCCACCTCTGTTGTAAACTGCTGCTTTATTTCACTCCCAGTTCAGTGTAGTCAACTCACAGCTTTCCCATTCCTAAAAGAGTGGCAGCACAGCTTCAGGTGGATCCATAGTGAATTCAATAAGGCTCACAGCATGTCCCATGATTCCCACTGAAATAGCAATCATTATGAGGTAGAATATGACTATATTAGGTGAAAAATTCTCCACTGGTATTTCAAGAAAAGAACTGTTCTTCCCTTTTTTTTAAAACAAATAATACTACATTTCATTGCAGAGGCAACGTAATATTTTATTGTTGTAGAATTTTAGGCCAATAACAGGGTAGTGCGTCTTATTTAAAAAGGGGGGGCATATATAAAATTCTCGTAAGGCATGTGGGCGCAAGTCCTCACACCAACTTTATCCCACCAAAAAACAACTATAGATGAGTAGATTGCATTTAAATAAAATTTGCGGTCAAATCGGGCCACAGATGTTCAATAAAGCTGTCAGTTGAGAGCTTTTAGCTAGTCTTGCATAAACAAAATATCCCGCTTTTCTTCAAGAATTTCGTTTTTTACTAGCTTGGTGGCCCTGAATAGTTACAGGGTTGTATAATACATACATTAGTAAGGCACACAAAACAAGTTCCATTCAAGTTTCGACCTTATCGACGCAAATACAGGAAGAATCGTGCGATCAATCTCTGGTTGAAGTATATCGAAGGTGTTTTCAAGTTAGGCTCTTTTGTTCAAGGCCAGGAATTTATGTTTTCAAATTTTATATACATGCAGGAAGGCGTTGTCGGACCAAACTTGAAAATACGGCCTATTGAAGCAAGTGAGCGCTCTACTTATGGAGACCAAGCTCACATTGTGGACAATATTGAAGACTCAAAGTCTGACAAATTTTATGGTATGTATAACGATCACCTATGTTTTCACTGTTTTCATTCATGATAGTGAATATCTGGCCATGAACCGTGTTTAATTTAGTACTTAGAGATGAAGACCAAGTGTGATGGTGGATGGTACTCTTCATTTACATTAAGATGGATGAAGTAGTCCGAGTAGAATGGAAAGCATGATGGCAACCAGTGTACCAGAATATGAGTCAGTATAAAAGCGAACGGGGCAGGGACCGGAGCAGTGCTGAAGTCCAGGGATTAGAATTGCTGTGCCATTAATTAGTTGTACAGATGCTGGCCTTACGAGGTCAGCAGGCAATAATGAACAATGCAGTGGACGTTGGTGAATGTTATATAGAAAACTTGACACCATGTACACGTTCAATAGCTGTAGCTCTAAATGATGAGTGCTGTTCTTGAAACATTGAATGCATGGGACCTCTGAAGCCTATTGTGCTTCTTGTGATGGCTCGCTGAATATCTTTGAAATTGTCTAAATGCTTATTTAAATATAAGTTGAACAGGCGTGCGTTTTTGTGTGTAAAGGTTGCGTAGATATTTAAATATGTATGAAAATGCGGAAAACTACATATTATTGTTGCGTGACACTTTGTAGGTGCAAGTTAAAAATATTAGCGCAAATCTCCATTGTGTAGGTAATCCGGATGGCACGTACATATGAAAATTGACGCAAGCGTTCGTTTCATACTTTTTTAGATGATTTCTTTCCAGTTAATACGAAGATGTAGGCTTCAGGCCCGTTGAACATGCATTCAAGTTATTAAACGTGAAAAGGAAAAGGAAAGTCAGTCAGTCTTCAGCGTAAGTTAATAAAAGCTCTCACGCGATGGTGTAAAATTATGCACAGTTCGTTGTCACAAAATTTACTTCCAGGAATGCGCACAACTAGACTGAATGGCTTCTCTTCACGGTAAATGCAGTGCAGAGAGACACGTCTCACGGCAGTGAAGGCCATAATACAGGAACTTACCATGATGGCAGAGGCAGCCTTTTCACCAACTGTTGGCAGGGTAAAATTTCGTGATTTCTTGTTGGGCGGCCGCTGAATAAACGAGGACGATAAAGCGATCACAGAAGAGGAAGCACGCGAACTGGGGGTAAAATTCAGACCTGAATGTTCGGTTTGGAACGCTTTTGACAATATCTTTGGTGTTACGTACAACGCCTAGTTTCAAACACTAAAGGTCATACCCGTATCTGGAACATGCTCATGTCAAGATCGTGTACTTGTGTCAATTTACGAGCGCCCTCTGCCAGAAACAGGTCGGGCAATACCGGATCATTACTGGAGCCTGAAGAAATCACATCTCCATGTCAGTTCACATTGCCGTCATATGCACCAGCACAGCCTAGTTGCATTTAACGATGGCAGAAATGAGGAGGAGAAAGAACAGCAAGAGAGAAGGTGGGGAGGTTGGCGTGGCACTTGGCCGGTTGGCTATATACGTTGGGGGAATAAAGAAGGGTAGTACGCATCTGCATGGGCAGAGGCGTATGAAGCGGTGGTACTATGCAAAGGCCAAAGGTGTTCACATAAGCCCTTAGTCCTCGGAAATCACAAGAGAGCTTTTACTGTCTTATGAGATGAAGAAAGACGAGGGCGGTGCTCCTTCAACATCGGCACAAGGAGTGGCAAATCATCCTATTGTCGCAACTGGTCAGAAATATTTTCACTCTCGGAGGCAAAACGAGGGCAACCACTTAAAAAGGCGTTGATGTCTTCTTCGGTGCCACAGTCTTCGCAAGCCGCACTGTCCGTCACTGCAATTAAGATTATATATTGTTTGATAAAGGCAACCTGCCACGAAAGCCGTGAAACATGCGAAAATGAACCTCAACGAAGGCCGTATGGAGGTCAGAGTTACTCCATCAAATAATTCCTGAACTTCGACCTTCAATAAATGAACTCCGACATCCACCCAGCCTTTGTTGAGGTTAATTTTTGCATCATTTATTGAAGGTAAAAGTTCAGGATTTATTTTATAGAGTCTCGTATATCTTATACTTTGTGTGTCCCATTCTAGCGGACATAGACTACGTTCCACGTGAGAAACTGCCTTGCAGCGTCTGTGCTTGACACCTAAATCGGAAGGGTGTGCTCTTCTTCATAAGGCCGCATTGTCTGCGGAATCATTGCCACTATTACCATTATAACCACATATCCACTGAAAATAATTAGCTAGAAAGGGAGCTACGCTGATCTGCAGAAAATTTGTCGGTGTTTATTTGTATTTGTTTTCGCAATGTCCTGCCTTTCAACTCATCCTTAATATCTCAATGTTGACCTAGCTATATTTAACGTTTCGAAAGTTGCCATAAAGCTGTTGTGAGTGTGTGCACCACCTATCCTGTACTCCTGTCCCGTTCTTTCCTCCTCCTCCGCAATTCAAAAAGGAATCATGAACCACCATCAAGTAGCCTATTAAACATTAAAAGTACTACAAATAACATCACCTATACTTTATTACCTTGAATATCTGTTAATCTCAATAACACTGTTTTTAACATGAAAAAACGAGCTCACGAAGTTTTGTTCCTTGCATATACGGGACAATATGTCATGTGAAATACGAATAACTGCCAGATCATGTTAGAAGTTGAAAATACAAGAGACACAGTTTTCAATTGCGCTACGGTGTGGCTTCTGAGTGACACGATGTAACCAGGAACTAAAGCAAATTAAGGGAATCCTCAGCTATGCCAGTGACCTCAGGTGGTTGATTCACAGGTCAACATTGTCAACAGTTATTTTTGTAATTGCAAGCGGAGTTTCGGAGGTGAATGAATGATGCAACTATATCGCTTGAAATGAAATAAATACATTAATCATGAAGTTATACGAACATACTCTCTCGATGCTTCCTGCACCAAGGCTTGTCATAGAGAATAGAGAAACCAGTGCAAAACTCTTTTAGATTTAGCGAACAACTGTTCGCTCTTGGATAAAATGTAGTAACATTTTAACATGGAACTGTGTCGTCCCATTTTAGGCAAGATTGTCCAGGACAGAATTAATATCACGGAACGTGCCACCAATGGACGTGTTGGTTATGATTCATGTGAGTAAAGTAAAACTTAACTGAAGTGTCGATTTATTGACATCATGTTCTTTTTTTAATTCTGTAGCTAAATTCAACGTGGAAGTTATATATCCAGAAGTTCTCATAACATGTGACTCGGTGTTTTTCGCTGGATTTAAGGATAAATACGGCTTAATAAAATACATCCTCATTGTGTTTCACGTTGTAAGTAACATTCACCATAGATAAATACACGATTGTTTCCTGCACCTCAACTTGAACATTTAAATTGTTTCTGCCCTTCAGGTGATCTTACGCTACAGCACTATTACTCACCCTCGGATAGAGCCTGTCTTAAGGGGCATCGAAATCAGCAACGTAAGTTAGCCCGTATGAATTCGTTGAGGTTCGCAATTCTAATTTTTAATAACCTTGAAAGGAAGATGTCCACGCAAGAGTGGTTGTAAAGATGCAGAACACAAGTGTTGATATAAATCCTAACTGTGTCGCGCGAAAAATTAAAGTACGAAAAGAGGACCCACTTCTATTTTGTCGCGCAACTCAGTTAAAATAAGTTATCTACTCGCCAAGCAGTTTATGCTTCTCAAATGTTTGCAAAGATGCATGGCCTATTTTTGTGATTCAGCAATGTAATGTGATGAATGAACTGCTTTGTTGTCACGTTTCTTTATTCAGAACATAGCTCATAACTTCAGCGGTAATTTTTACAAGAATTAGCAACAGCTGATGACCTAGCTTTCAAGTTGAACAGATGTGTCATGGTTATGTTATTTCTATGTTGCTATGGCAGATCGCAACTACATAAATAAGTTTGCATATGACAGCTCTGGATAGACTAGACGATCGGCCTTTGTCGGAACAAAGGATTCTGGGTCATTGGCCGAACCCATCCTCAGCCCAAATGGCTTTGAAAGCTTTGCTGCGCTTTTTGCGGACAACTGGCCTCAGAGACTGACTTTAGTGTCTTATACTCTTTGATGTTGCCTTTCCTCTGTCGCATTTTTTTGTAATTTCTCCCTCTCTTCGCAACATTTTTTTTTAACATCTTTCATTCCCCTCACCCCTTTCCCCAGCACAGGGTAGCCAGCCGGTCTACGAACTGGCTAACCTCCCTGTCTTTCCGCTTAAACTTTCTTTCTCCTCTTCCTCCTTGCATATGACGTCCCAGTTTAATGCACTGAGCGATAGAGAGAGAGAAATAAGGACGAAAATCCGGGAAGATAACCAAGCTTAGCTTAGTTGGCTACCCTACACTTGGGGTGAGAGAAATGGGGAATAATAGAATGAAACAGATAGAAATGAAGAGAAGTAAGAAAGAGAAGGATGAATGGTAAGCTCGAGACTTAATGTCCTGAATATCCACAATGTCCTGAAAATGTCCTCATTATCTGCAAAACGTTAGTGCCGCATTCAGTAGCTTCCTAATTTAAAAGCTAAACAGTCCATAGGTAGCTTTCTGCCATCAAAAATTTTGAATCATTAGACAAAATGCAGCCTCGTCGGAATAATTCGAGCGTAGCATAAGCTAGTGATTATTGCAAAACTCTTCACTGTATAATTCCTTTGGTGAGCATAGGCCATACCTTAACTTTTTGCTAACTCATGACATTGTCACTTCTTAATTGTTTGTGAAAAACTTTGTACGCTCCTCCGGTAAAGCGCTGATTTGAAAGTATGGCCATCGCAACTGCATGCTTATGATTAGCGTAATGCGTTGGGATCTCGAAGTCAGCTAAACTTGCCAGTGTCGCTACTAGAAATGTTAGTGCACAAGCTCTGGCCTACGCACTTCAATTTCCCTTTTAAAACGTGCTACAGATGTTTAGGCCCTGCTGCGAAGAGAGTCCCACGCCATATAACATTAACTAAGGCTGCGTATATCACCCCTTACACCTGTACCAGAAATGATACTCGCGCACAGGTTGAAACAGCAGGAGGTGCTGCTGTCTAGCTCGGACCAGGCCCTCCAGCAAGCACTGCTTGACGTGAGTGAAAGAAAGGCTAAGGCCAGCGGGGTCATCGACAAAGGCTCCTTCTTTTCGAATGACTTACGTCTCATCAACCTCTTAGGGGCGAAGAGCTTTGGAGTCTAGGTTTCTCTGTCAGTTGTGTGCTGTTTGTTGTCCGGCAAAGCGCGTGCGAAGTTCCCACTTTATGCCTTTCATGTGTCCGTGACGGATACAAGGTAACAACTGTGCGCAATTTCTGTGAAATTTACTTTCTTTGTGCAGAGAACGTTTCGGAAGAGAAGTCAGATAGGACAGAGTGCATTGATTTAGCTATCACGAACAGATATAGCACGCGTGAACTCAAGTTAGCAAGCGACGATGTACCGTGGTTGGACCATGTCATTTTCATGATGTAACGCATCCTCAAAAGGTATGACGTGATTATTGTGCTATAACCCGTTTGACACCATCACTAAACGGCGCTGCTTCACGTCGTCTATTGGCCTTGTCGGTCGTTCATCGGTAAGCCAATGCCGGACGCAATTACCTAAAAAGTATGCTCAGTGATGTCAGGACAGCTTGAGCGGCACAAATGGTTTCTTCCTTGCAGAAGACAGAAGAAAACAAGTATTACCAGTACCTTGGAAATGGCATCGATGCCATTCCATCACTTTATGGGGTCAAGAACTATGTTGTGGCAAGAAGTGCCTTATACGTCGAATTCGATCTGGTCTACTTCCTTACTGGGTAAGTATGCAGGTACGAGCGCTAGGAATTGGTACCTTCTGTTCTGCAAAAAACTAAAATAAATTACGTCATTCTTATCGAAAATAGACAAAAAAGTGAGTGTGACTTGCTATGACGGCGCAAGGCTAAACAGACGTTGGAGCTCAACGGCAGCTTCACACCAGTAGTTCCAAGGGGGCAAAGAAAGTATGGAGCTAGGCCGCCATGTTTCTTTCTTTTTTTAGATGCGGAAGCATCTTATACTCGCGCCTTGTAGTGCGCCGTCCGCGCCGTCCGCACCGCTTCTCGAACATTCGACAGCTGACGCGCGCGCATGCGCCGTCGCGCCGTCGCCCACTCTTCCACCATCTGTGCATCCCTTCCTCCTCTACACACCGCGCGCGCTTCACTCCTCCACCATCTGTGCACCCTTCCTCCTCTACACACCGCGTTCGACATCTACAATTCTCCTGATTCTCCAGTGGACGCGCATGTGGCGTCGCGCTTCGAGAACATTCAACAGCTGACAGTGTATGCGCCGTCGTGCTGTATATATACTGAAGGTCGGCGCTCGCTCGCTCAGTTGCCGCTCGTCGGTTGGTTTGTACGGCGCGTCGACGTCCAAGGTCGCGGTGAAATGAATTCCAACGAATCCACAAACACAATGATCGACGTCCCTTCGACCAGCGCCGCCCTTTCGCATACGTGTGTACGTGTTCACTCATTTAACACCCCCTCCTACAACCACGTTAACCAATTTAGCCATCGACCCAAGTAAGTCGCAATTTAACACCCCATTTCACAACCACGTTAACTAATTTAGCAATCGACCCAAGTAAGTCGCACTTTAACACCCCGTTAACCAATTATATGCTCCGCATCCTCCTCAGTGTTCCCCCGAGGGAAGCTGCGGGCAATTTTTTTCTTCTTAACCCGTTCTTTCTTCTTCTTTATTTTCATTGTTGTTTTGTTTTTTGTCTCTGTTTATTTCTATTTTATCTCTCTCTGTACTTTTCTTTTTCTTACCTTATTCTCTCTCTCCCTCTCTTTCTCTATTTTCACTTGCTATCCTTTACTTTCTACATTTCTTTCTCTATTTTTTCCGTTCGAGTTCTTAGATGCTCTCTTTTTTCCCCGCTTCTTTTTTTCAGTGTATCTCTTTACTACTCTCGGTCTGCTGTGCATTACTCCGTTTCCCTTTCTCTTCACCCTCACCGTTATCTTCCTACTTGCTAATTGAAACAACACAAGGCTATGCCCTGCTTAGTGAGGGTGAATGTGAGTAGAGTGGTTAGGCGTTCGGATCGTGGATGCAAGGGTTCGAATCGCGGCGCGTCGTGAGGTAACGTCTCACACGAAGATTTTCTGTCTTTTTTTGTTCCAATGTCTCTTCTTCGATCTCTCTTTCTTTCGTTCACTCACTATGCCACAGAAATTGGTGTAGTGGGTGGGATGTCTTGACTCGCAAAATAGTGCTTACATATTACACAGAAAAGTGAGCACCGCGGTAAAGGTTCGTTTTGAATTACAGTGCGATGATGAGAATTTCCTGCCTCTTGCTGCAGACTTCTTTTGATCAGATCTATTAAAACCACTTTCCTTACATTTAAAGAAAAATCGTAGAAAGAACAATTCATACGAATAATATTTATTTTGCTTATACCTTTCTGTTGTAAGCCGCTACTGCGCTATTTTACGCAGAGGAGCATTGCACAGAGTGTGAATTTTTGGCAGGCAAGAAAGTAGGTTTATGCTGAGTGAATTTTTTTATGTATGAGAATTCACAAAGATCTTCGAATTTTCTAGCTACGACATGATTGTTCCAGGAAACAATGGATGGGACAGGGGTTATAGAGGTGAGTCTTGAAATGAACGAACGAAAATTCAGTATATCTTTTTAACTTTGCTGAATCACTCCTGACTGCATATTACTAGGGGAACAAGTATGGGGTGTTGCAATTACGCTTGTATAAATGATACATTGGTGACAAGATGTAGAAAGTTGTGAATGAAGACGCCCTCTTAGGAGGGGTGGTAAGCAAGGAGCCAATACATGAGAGCGAAATTACTGAAGAAATATGTGCGCGGGAGACGACATTCAGCAAGCATTCTCATATCATGCGAGGTAGCTTACCACTATTTTTAAAGAGGAAAGTACAGAACACCTACATCTTAGCGGTACTTACCTATGAAGCGGAAACCTGGAGACGACGCACAGAGGGTTGAACATAAATTCAGGATGACGCAGTGAGCGCTGGAAATGAAAATGATGGGAATACGATTAAAATAGGGGAAGATAGCCGAGTATGTCAGAGAAAAAAAACAGCGTTAAGGCTATTATAATGAAATCAAGAATAAGCAAAAACAGACAATAGCCGGTCAGGTAGCGCGTAGGCAGGAAAGCTGCTGGTCATTAAGCATGACTGACTGGTTTCCAAAAGTAGGCAAACGCGCGAGGGAGAGACGGAAAATTAGGTGGGCAGATGAGATTAAGACATTTTTCGGTATAACATGGCAGTGCAAAGTGCGGGATTGGGTTGATCGGTGGAACATTGGCGACCTTGGCCTTGCAGTGGGCGTAGTCAGGCTTATAATGGTGATGACATAATTCACGGGTTTATGGCATGCGTTAGTGTAAGTGCATGTCAGTACAATAGTAGGGGAGTTTAAACACCACTGCCCGTTTACAAAATAACGCACCAGAAACGTGTATGGAGCTATGAGGCGCCACATACATCAAGTATTCTGTTAACTTATCAGCCTTTAAGCATTGTAATTACCGTCAGCATGGAGCATATAATAAAAGTAAAATGATGCATCATGCAATATCCAAAGACGCTTTTCAGAATCCCCACCCCTTTTATGAAATCCAGTTGGTTTGCACCAGAAGAGTCTCTTCTGCGTGTCTCTGATCATGTAACTTGGTACAGGATTGCATGCCACTTGCCTGGCCCTATATGGATTGTCTGTATTGAAATATTATAATCTCAAAACTGGACCTTCATTTTGTGTAGAGTGAGGTAGTGATAACCTAAAAGTAATACCGATATTAAAAGTCAAGGCTTTACATCCCGAAATCACGATACCATCATAAGAGACACCACAGAACAGGGCTCCGAATATTTTGACTACCACTTTTTTTTCGAAAGTTTGCCAGACCCTTATCACAAACACCTCTAGCGATTCTCCTCCCTGGAATCACTGCCACCCCGACCAGAATTTCATCCTTCAAATTTCTGGAGAGTAGTTTTGGAGGGATGCAGTGACGGCAAAAATCTACAATTGCGAACTTAAAGTGTGATCAATATCTGCACTTATTGCCAACAAACTCAAACCATGGGCATAATCAAGCACAGTGCATGAATGAAATATAATAATTTTAATTGCTAGCTGCTAACATGTTGTCACATGGTCTAACCATCAGTACTGTAACTGACATCCACGTCATGTAACAGCAGCGACTAAAGTCCTAAACCCCAAACACGGCGAGGTGCTTTCGGAAAACAGTGTTTTGTTTATGCAAGCATCAATTACACTTTCTGTGCCACTTCTTCTCACTCATTGAACCTTCCAGAACCTGAACTCTACATTCTTCTGCTATCAGTTTAACGTAGATAACTGATCAAAAATACCTGTTCTTGTTGACGCAGGCTTCGCCTTCGTTGGGTCTGCTTGCTTGGCTACACGTGAGCAGCTTGGCGAAGATACTCCCAACTCTTTCATCGGAATTCGCACAATGGCCCACGAAATGGCGCACACGTAAGGGACACGTATTCAGTAATCTGCACTAATAAATTGAGTACCGCGTCGTGGTTTAGGGTTTTACTTTGATAAAAAAATTAAACAAAGCCTCAAACTATGGCGAAAAACTAATTTGTATATGGAAACAGTAATTTTATTTTCTCTGAGTTAGAAAAATGTTGCACATTGATTCTAGAGATTCCCGTAGGGTGGCAGAAGGGTTTATAAATGAAAATTCACACTACCTGCTTGTAGCATCACGTTATAAAGAAATTTAAAAGGATTTTTATGAGAAAATCTTGCTGGCTCCAAGAAAAAAAAAAGCTTTAGCCACTTAGCAGGATAAATTCGTACCAGTCATAGACCAGAAGCTATCATTGTAGTACAAAACGCAAGTGAGATAAAAATTAGCTTCCTAGTTCATTTCTCAGCCCAGTAGAATGTCAAGTGGATTCAGGTTTTTTTGTGAAAGTGATGGTCAATGTCTTCGTAGGGTGTTTCACACTGTCGCGATTTTGCATTGTAATCATGCGCACATGTGGGTTAGGCAGTCAGCAGACCCTTTTAGTTACCTAAGGGGGGCGTTTGCCCCACACTGACACATTAGCGGGAGGCGCTGAGAAAAATAGTTACTTCACCTCTTCCTCCTCCTTCCCACCTGAATGGTAACTCTGCGAACACCTAAGGTACGCACCTGCGTTAATCGAGGATCGAGGGACAAGTAGGTATATCATACCACACCTAGGCACTATTACTAAGATGCAACAAACAGATGTGTGTTTACTGCCATCGGGCTGAGTGATTTCACTTGAAGTCTGTTTTCGATAGCAATGCTTTTTGTGAGATGATGTACATGCCGACTTTCATACACTTGTTGTTCTGGGCTTGTTTGGTCTGCTTCTACTTGTCCACCATCATCTGTGCTGTTTTGAACAAGATTAATTAAGTGTAAATGCTTAGTGAGGAAAATATACGCCGGTGCACCATGAATTCGTGAATTGATTACCTTCCTGGACGCAGCAGAAAGAAAGACAGCGTGGTCAGTCTGAGCAGCCGCGGGCACTCACTGCCCCTCTTCTTGGAAAATCCTCGCGTCCGTTAGTATACTCCGCCTTCGGTTCGAACGAGGAGTACGCAATTTCTCTGCGTTTGGTTCGAACGCGGAGAACGCAGAGCCGCAGCAAAGTAAGGAAAAGCGTTCGATCATCAATAGCTGTTTTCACAAGGAAAGTTCACTGCTACAGCAACCTACATTTTTAAGGTAGATAACATTTGTGTTATGGGGATCACGAGAACTACACTATCCCTAATATTAAGTAAAATTTTCAATGCTTGTCAATTGATAGAACACAGTGCTTTACGTAATATTAACAATAATAATAATAATATCATTACTATTATTTTGGGTTTTACGCTGCGAAAGCACAATATTATTATGAGAGACCCAATATTAGAGTTCCAAAAATTTATACAACCTGTTTTAAACCCGTGGTGGCTGGTATGAAATCCACTACGTTTAGGTCAGCATTCCATCACCCCAGCCGGTGAACTGCAGTGGAATGATTTTTAAGAACAATAAAATCATGAGTGTAAAGCATTTTTCGCGCTCACTAATCCAATTTTTTTGTGTGCGCGAATTCCAGCTTAGGGTGCGATCATGATGAGTCAACGATTGAAGGTCACTTAGAAGGATACGTAGCGAACTCCTCATACTGCCCTTGGAGTGACGGCTATATCATGAGCTATGTTATAAAGAACGGCAGAAGCAAGCGATTCTCGCAGTGCTGTGACTACGACATGAGACGGTATTCCTGGTACGTATGAGTTTATGGGAAACTTTGACATCATGTGAACAGTTGGACAGTTCACAGCACACAGACACGTTGACATTTGAGAAAGATGATAAGCCCTTGACAGATGTCGTCTGCAAATTTGCCACAATGTTTTGTGTGAAGTCAGCTTCGCGCTATAATTAAGCTCTAAACAGTGAGCAGATTTTAAAACGTCTCTATTTCTGCTGGTTGTATCAGTCACTAGCGGCTACTATTGCCAGAAGTGGATTATAAATATGTACCTTGGCCTCTCTAATTTTCTATAAACCCCCTCCAGTCCCCTATTTCATCATGTTTGCATGGTTGATATTCAGAGGTGGGCTTGGTCTATACGCCAGATTGTGTCGATTAATGGTATGCGAATAAAAGTATGTTAAGATTAGAAAGCAATCACAAGTCAGATCTAAAGCTTGCATCAGATATGAAATGAATCAATAAATACGATTGTACATAAAGTAAATAATTCTGTCACAAAATAAATAAAGCTAGTACAAAGTGTTCGGCATTCAGTGGCGCAAGGGCTGTACATTCATTGTGAAGTACCATGCCAGATTTCATCGCAATATTGCAGGAAAAGTTTTTACAGTCGCATATTTGCTCACTCTTGCACATTCTATGTTCGTTATGTGTACGTATGTATGAATATGTGTGTATATATATACATTGTGACGGTTAACAGCAGCGGCACTGAGGCTAGAGTGCGCGAGAAGCTATCTCGGAGAAGCTTAGGAAGACGAGGACAGAATGCAATAGCAATGGTGCAGCTCCACATTTGGACCTTGCGGCTCAAGCTACCTGTTAGTAGCCTTGGGGGTCGTCGGCAGCGTGGGATTATCCATCCAGGAATGCCGTCCACGCTTCCTTGGTGATGTGATCATCAACCCAGCCGCCACTTCAGCTGCCTTTCGGACCATCAGTGTAAATGTCAATGTCGTCCATGTTTACCTTGTGGTACCAGGGCATCACACCATGCTGCCACTGCGTGGCAGGGCTACGCAAAAGCTCCTGTCTTTTGTAAATGCTGCTCATGCTTTCCACAGCCTCAGTTCCGTTTTCAGTACTTTTCTAACATATACGGGCCGCTATGGAACGCCATCCAGGAATCCTTGTTCGTGGATTGCAACAGTGTGAGTGCGAGAGCCGCTGCAGACTCGATGAACGTGATGCCTGCCTCTTCAGGCTTCACCCCTGACAGCGCCATGAATCTGCGGTGTACCATTGCGCGACTGTGCGTCACGGTCAATACAGTGACAGCGACGAGCTCCGCACTGTTCCCTGCAATCCTAGGGACCCTGAGCGCAAGCAACGCATGTTGGATACAGTCGCCTCGCAAGACCTTGATGCCTGCTCATCTGAGCAACACAGAGAGCGAAGGGACGCACTCACACAGCTCTTAGAACAGCTCGGCTGCTTTGTTTCAGTGATCTCGCCACTCACACGAGTCACCCCACCAGCACCATCCATCTGCCAACAGCGGAATTCCACAGGTTTCGGAATGACGCAGACGGCTGGGTGGCAACCAATAATGCGAGAGCGGTTCGCATAGCATGAACAAGCCTCAGAAATGGTCCGTGTCCACAGACCATCTTCGGGACGGTGCAGCGGCATGGCACCGGTGTGAAGGCTGGACGCAGCAGTCATGGGTAGAGTGGAGCCTCACGCTCACAGCTGCTTTCAGATCGATTCTCTCTGCTACCTGCCCGTGCAACTCGACCTTCCTTGAGTACACAGCTCAAGAGAAGCCTGACCTGCAGGATTCAACTCGAACCTCTACACACCAGCCATCCTTCTGCGGCCAATGTCAAGGGCACCATCATGGCTGTGTAATTGTTCCTTGCACAGACATTTCTACTGTGGTAATTGGAGCTCCCGAGGAGCAGTAGCCTGATGGTGCAGCTGTGTCCGATGGATCCTTCACGCCAAGCTTTGCGATACGTTCTGCGACAGGTGCCGACGAAGGCCATCCTGTGAACGCTGAAGCGCCACCATCCATTTACTATAGGTTCTACCAAGTGATAACATATACGTGCCTATGGATTTCGCCATGCTTATCTGTGACTAGACGGAAGCAGATGTGCACGCTTGAAATGATTCACTAACTGAACGTGAGAGCATTTGCGCCTTGTGAAAAGACGCCCTTCGAGAAGACTAGTTTTCTGACACGTTTGTTGTCGTTTCCAGCAAAGACCTGCTGGCACAGTGCAACTCTTGAGCTCTTGCAGTGGCTTCCGATGGGGCCGTGCCAGTTCCATGAAGCGTGGTTCAGTCTTTTTCTAGAAAAGTCAACCAACCGATGATACGCTGCAAGACACACATGCGATGACATGTGGCGCAGCAAGTACCTTTGGCGGAGCCACCATTTTGTGCGCTGCCATGAAAAGAGTGGTTTAAGAAATACCATCGCTTTGGAAAAAACCGGACACAATGCCAGAACGGTCAGTCACCCCTGTGAACCGTTTCCGAGAACATTACTCGCCAAGCCGCATCACGCCATAGAACATACACTATCCCGAGACAGCCTGCTCCGTCCACTCGAGTAAACCGGAACTGCCTTCTCTACAAAGTCGCTGCATGGCCGAAGACACAGTCAATTCCGTCTCCCGAGATCGCCATGGACAAAGGGACCAACCAAGGCCCAGTGTCTACAGCAACACGGCGAACGACCCAGGTGACTAGGTAGTGTCGGCCACCGAAAGCAACTTGGACTAAATTCCAGGTAAATTTTCTGCATGGCCAAGTACAGCCACTATGGAATAGTCAGTTCCGCTCACCGGAGATGCTTCACGCAGATCTCCCATTCACGTTGCCGAGTGGTCGCGACTGACCTCCGTGATCCAGCCAACCGCACCCACCTGAAGTACTCTCGGGCTCTCCACGCGCTCGCAGTCATGACCGAGTGTGATCGCTAACAGCAGTGGCAGCGGGGTTCTAGTTCCTATATGTATGAGATCTAACAGACAATAATGTCAAGGAATGTATAGGGGAAGGTATTAGGCCCAATTGTAATGTAAATGTGAAGAAAGAAAAGTGGGTGAACAGATAACTTGTCGTGAGCAGGAACCGAACCTGTGACTTTCGAATAACGCGTTCGATGCTCTACCACCGAGCTACCACGGCGGTCATCCCCCAAGTCACCTTATTGCGTTTATATGGGATTTTAAATGTGGGAGTGCCAGTTAGCGCCCCCTGTAGCCTTCGGAGCGAGGGTGGCACATTCTTTGTAAGCCTGTTTGGTGTCCCGTAGCACGTAAACTTATTACGAGCTGGCAGCTGACCAATAGTCCCTCGTATACAACCTAATGGCACTAGGTCTGCAGTAGGAGACCATCGTTAATGAATAAGGGAAAGAAGTGTATACTTAACGGCTCGTTTGTGCTTGTTTTGACAGAATAATAATGAGATCTAACCGACAATAGTGCCAAAGAATGTATAGGGGAAGGTATTAGACCCAACTGTAATGTATATGTGAAGAAAGAAAAGGGGGTGAAAAGACAACTTGCCGTGAGCAGAAACAGAAAAACTTGCCTCAAGCAAATTATCTTTTCACCCAGTATTCTTTTTTCACATTTACATTAGCGTTGGGTCCAGTAACTTCCCCTATGCATTCCTTGGCATTATTGGCTGTTAGATATCATATTGTGTCAAAACACGCAAAAACTACAATTCTTTCCGTTGTATTTTATATATATATATATATATATATATATATATATATATATATATATATATATATATATATATATATATATATATATAACTCATCCCCTGATGAAGGGAGGTCCCCTCCCGAAACTGTTGGGAAATGAATATATTTATCCTTGTTGACAACGCTCCCGTTGTGCCATATCATATATATATATATATATATATATATATATATATATATATATATATATATATATATATGTATATATATATATATATATATATATATTTATTTATTTATTTATTTATTTATTTATATATTATGACTGAGACCTATAGACAACGCCCGTTCACTGGGCCGGTTGTTCTTTATGTCACTTCGTCGTCCTCTGCTTCTCGCGTTCGGCCAGCGAGAGCCAAAGCTACGTTGCCGCTTTTAATCATTACACTCGGCGATGACTGAGAGCGTGTGCAGCTGCCAAAATTGTCTCTGGAAGGTGGCACCGGGAAGGTCGTGGTAGTCGGCCAATTGTACGTCGCGAGCTGCCCTGTTGAAATGCACGCTCAGGTGATGGACATTTACTGAATCGTTTTGCTCACAGTACACGGCGACGCTCAGATTTGGTCCGAATGTCAGTCAGAAGTCTATCAGGAGAGCGAGACTGGCTGTATCGCAGAGGTCGGCCTCAGCCACGCTGTGAATGAGTGCGGAGATCTGCCACAAGTGGTTCAGGTGGTAGAAAACCACTGCATCGCTGTGGCCGGTGTTGGTCATGTAGAGATTTCTTGGGAGCAGCTTCTGAGAATACACGTAGCTACGGTCTTAGCTTTTGCCGAGGTGTCAGCAGTGGCATGGAACACGCGAATAAGATTGCCATAGCCACATCCCAGAAGGCACACTGGGTGCCTTGGCGGGTGACAAGAGTAGTCACACAGCTTCTGTAATATTTAGCAGTGAACATAGCTCACGTCCCATCTTGATATCTGCCGTGGGACATTCCGTGGCGCTTTCATTGTTGCGGCGGCTGTGTGTACCTTCATAGTAATAATGGTACCCCTCATTATTTTTGTCAGCGAGCCCGGTAATGGTTGTCTTTGGCTCTAACGGTGCCAACGCCGCAGTTTTGTCAAGAGTGGTGATTGCTGGTATGTCCACGTCTCTCAGTAAGGGTGATCGTGGGGCTCACTCCTCCAACTTTTTATATGGCCTAGTACTAGCATTTGGCCAAGGAGCCGTATAGTGCTTGCAATTGATTTGTAGTGTTTTATGCAATTGAAGTTCAATCAATCAATTTGTTTCAGGATGTTTGGGGCTGACTGTCTGCATGTGAAATCGCCAAAAAAGATTTCTCCAAAGTTAAGGAAAAAATATAAATGGCCAGGTGAATTTACAAAGAAAAACAAACAGTGTCAACTTACATACCCTTTTTTCACGGAAACATATTATATTCAGGTAAATTTTATTCCATAGGACATTTTACAAAAAACACACTGTGCAAGTAGCACAAAGCAAACTGCTCCTTACAGAAACTTACTCTTGTAATCCTGTAGAAATCGACAACCTGGGACTGCATGATGAGTTGCTATGTTCCACAAAACTACCGGAGTGGAAACGAGTCCAGCTGGGTCACGGAATGCTTTGATGGCAGCCACTGTGGAACAAGCCTGCAGAAAGTAAGAAAATGCGCTCTAACACTGATGGCGAATGCACAAAACAGAAACCACTGCCTATTGCGACTGCAATTCTTTAGCCGCTGAGATTGCGCTTCATTCGCAATGTTTGTTACCCACCGCTGGCATCTGATATGATGTCATTCACAGTCTTATGAGCTGGTGAAAAAGCAGGTGCAAAATAAAAAGTTGTATTTTTTCATAACATTAAGTTCATAAGGGTGTTAAAGGCAGTGTTGAAATGAATGCAAAAGCATTAGAAAGACAACAAAGTCTTTAAAAATAGGACAAAGAAAGAAAAGAGTGAGGCCCGCGCATTTCTGTAGCTAAGTGTCACACCTAAGCAGTAGCTCACAATAGCTCACAAGGGAGGGCATAACAAGGGATGAAAAGCGACAGACACAGAAGTAAAGTTTGACAGAAAACAAAAAGGTAGGGACACGGTCGAAGGAGTCCAAGGGCGGAGAACAGCTCGGCGAGAGCTACAGGGCAACAGCAGTTCATGGATGGCGGGCCGATCGGTGAGAGCTGCGCTGCGTCGGAGATAGTGGTCGGCACAACAGCTCTGCGCAGAATCTGCCAAGCGAGTCGAAACAGAACATTCCCTACCTCTTTCTTTTTACATTCATCATAGCGCTGGTATTTGCTCCATCACCATCCCGATTAATTCCACGACTCGGTGCTCAGATTGTGTACGCGCATTGCAGCAGCGAGTCACATGATCAAGATCACAGTCATCCTACTGCGAGAACAGTTGGCAAACAATTTATGTCCAAGCTTGAGCATCTGGAAGATGGATTCATCGTTGAAAAGCCGATGCTTACAGAATTTCGATGGATGGGTCGTTTCTAGAGCCCGCACGTCGGCGCTTGTTCTTCGATGTTCTGCAGCCTTCATGTCTCAATAAAGGACCCTGTTTGTGGTTGAAGTTAAACTTGTGGTGCTGCCACCTCCATTGAGAAAATTCAAAATGGCAGCGTAGATGGCACCCTCGAAACTAATGTGTCTATGTGATGGGATTTCACCGAACGCTCTCATTACGCAGGCATTAACTTAGAGCAATAGTTTGGCTATAAAGGATTTTTGTACAAAAGGTTCTTGACATTGCGAAGTCTAGGTCATACTGATCCCGAATATTTTGTCACATAAACTATGTAAAAAATTAGAGCAGCTGCTTTCTAAAAGCGTAAAGGCTGTGGAAACAATGTAGCTGGCGAACTCCCATTTATCATGACTTTTTACTCGCCCTCACCTTTCTTTCCTGACCACTACCTCAGCAAGAGTGAAATTGAATGCGCTCTGCTTCACTTTTTGCCCTCCTGATTTATTTTCCTACCACTGTGCTATACTTCCCTATACAAGGCTGTGTTATACATTTTTCCTGAACACCATTTTTATAAGGTGTCTGTTTTTTCTCCTCTTTCATTCTAGTTATCAGTTTACATTTGTTGTCCTTATATATTCGTCATAAGAGCTTCTTTTGCTATCATACTTTAACAACCGTGTCCCTACGATATTCACCTTTGCACTGACAGCACACGGGCTTAAGTCACTCCTCATCCAAATAAGTTCTTTGTTTCATTTCGTTTCATCCTCCGCTACACCTTTCATCTCTTTTCCTCTTTTTTTCGTTCATCTTGCCCACTTGGCCGAAGGGACATCTAGCTTGAAGCACCTCCCTGCGACCGCAGGCTTCTTGCCTCAGGAATTCTCGTTTTACAATGCAGTATCTGTACCCCCACAATCCTAAGTCCTCCTTCATCATTTCCCATCTGTCTCTTTTGCTTCGCCTTCTTTCTCTAATGGCCGCGCGTTCTATTGCACCTGCTGTATCGGGTTGTAGGCTTGCCCAATTTTTCTGGAACATAGTCGACCGAGTTTTCCTGGACGCGATGGGGAGTTAATGAAACCTCAAACGACTCCCCTGTTAATGAAAGCTCTACTTACTCCACCTAAACTATGGCAGGGGTTACTGACGTCAGGTGATGGTGACCGGCAGCTTCAGTCAGGTAGAGAATATGAATATTGATGCGCCTGCTTAAGGCAACGTGGAGAAGTTTCTGTGTGTGCCGTTTACATCTCGCCACTGCTCCGCATCCTAACACGGCTGGCTTCATCAGGAGATGGTGATTTTTATCTAATATTACTGACATATGGATGCCCTATTTCACTTGAGTTAGTAGCTGCTTCAATCACAAAGCCTGTTTATTTACAAAAATATATGTCTCTTCTTTTCAGATATGTCTTAACGGCAATTGTGTGGACGACCCGAGGTTGCATAGCAATACCAAGAAACCAGAATAGTATGAAAAACACTCTTCCTTTACAAAACATAATATTTAAGCCAGAAGCTCCAAGAACTGGCTAAGATACCCGTATTTCTGACTGTTCACCCATGTACACTCTGAAATAAACACAGGGATTATATTTAAACTGCTCCATCTCAACGTTCAATAAATTTCTCGTGGTAATTGACAAAATAGCTCGTCAAAGTGATACTGACTCACACTATCAACTGTACTCCCACGTTCAAGTCAAGTTGCAATACTATATATGCCACACTCACACAATTTAGCCTGTACCCCGCGCATCGTCCATTAGGTGTCGATAATAGGGCTTTATATTTATACGGACATCCAGAAGTACAATAAGAAGTGTTTTCAATCAGTTCAGATATATAGACATCTGATGCGTACATACACTAAATCATTAGCATGCGATAGCGGATGTAGGCACGCCATTTAGATTCTACTACTTGGGTAGTAGGGGATTCTCGCTGTCTAACGTGAAGTTCAGGAGGGCTCATGCAGTCACGCTGAATGACATAGTCCACTTTACTTTTTCGAAATAATGTTTACTTCAAAAGTGACTGCCAAAATAAACGTAACGTGTGCAGTGGTATCTTCGAAGTCATACACATGCTGGTGGGCTTTTTTGTGAGTCTCATCTAGCCAAAATAAACTTTGATTTACTGCAGAAGATGTTCACGAGCGCTCTATATCAATATGAACAACAGGATGTTCAAATCGTGCCATAACGCTCGTCACGACGGTACCAACGCTACCGTGGTACGCCTCCGCATGAGCAGCGGGGCTTCGGGACTCCCGACCAAATTTTGTGAATGAATGAATGAATAAATGAATGAATGATTGAATGAATAATTGAATGAATGAATGAATCGTTGGGTGAATGAAGAATGAAAAAGACTTGATTTCAGAGAAGGAGTAATGGTTTCATGAGCTAAACTGCGGTGTTTAGGTCCGAAGCTCCACTGGCTTTCGCCGGCGGGCGGACCTGATATAGCATCATGAACTACGTGTCTCGGTCTGAAATGGCTAGGAAAGCCTACCATTGCTCCTTTTTCAAATATATACTGTGGTTTAGAAATTTATCTAAACCTGCTTGTTTGTCAACTCCCCTATGAGATTTGGAAGAGGGTTGACGTGCCACCACACAACATACTTAAGTGCCTCTAGCACTCACTTTTTTCCCTGTTTGGATGAGTGAATGCACAAATGGTACGGATAGTCCGAACAAACAAGTGCAACCTGTCACACTCTGTAAAGAAAGATTTCAATTGAAGCTCTTTGGCACATAATACGTGGTCATCTGGTGGTGAACAATCTAGAGGAAAAGGTCACATTGTGAACATGGCAGTTAATGTCACGAACGATGACACCAGCAGCTGGTGCACATAAAGCACCTGTTGAAAAAGATGTAAAAGTAAACGTGTGTACATGAGGACTGCCAGAGAAGCAAAAGAAGTTGGGACCAACGGTGTTCGGTTTGGTTTCTCTGCCGATCGATAGTTTTCTTTAAAGCGCCATTGCCTAGACAAGTCCGCCTAAGTACCACGTTATTTGCATTGCGATATGCGTCCACTTCTTTTCTTACGAAAAACGTAACACTACGCTATTACACACACACAGCTGCACATTTATTCAAAAATATACAGGTTATTTCGCATGCAAGATACACACAATGACCATGCGCGGAGGAGTTGGTAGAGAAATTCTCTAGTGAAAACAAAGAAGTTTTTAGTAATGAAACAGCACTTGAGCAACAAAAAGGTAAATAAAACAAGCATACCAATTAATATATTTAATTCTTTTTTAGGCAAGCATACTGACGTGAGGCTGACACATGACTACTTTTTTATGCAGAGTGCGTCCATCGCTACTCTTGATTGATCTTTGTGTGTGAAGAGCACTATCGTGCCACTGAGAGGGGAAGTTCACCGATTCATACAAAAGTGTCTAAGTGGGATACGCGCAAGTATTCACAGATCCAGAGTGTCCTTTTAGACGTAAGTAAAGGCAGCTTCCCGTCTGCACTTCGCTTCAGGATAAGGGGTATGCAACAATTCGTGCTCATGACAACGACGTATTCGTATGCTTCATACCACACTTTGTTAAGCCAGACCCCTCCTTTTGATGTTTCATCTTCACAAACTGACATAATTTGCCGAACCTATTATTCTGTGACATCCATAGCTTTTGTTGAGTAGATTTTAAAGTAAAGGATATTGGGCGAGCCGACTTGCAAAAACCATGCTAATACAGGTCTCCTTCAAGACGGCTTTGCTTCCAAACACAAATGCTTCGGTTTGTTATACCTTTTCAAGAAACTACAGAAGTTTTGGTATATTGAGTGATGACAGCCCCAAGAACTTCTTTACTGTATTAATTTTTGTATTGAAGGCGCTCTGGGTTTCCGCTGAATCTCTTGGCTGAATCGCGGAACGCTTGCACAGAGAGACAAAGAAAACAACTGCTGCTACAAGCAGGAAATGCCAGAACCCGGTAGCGATGCCCTCTTATGTGCGTGGCAGTTCGCCCAATCTGCGAAGCATAGACCGAAAAACTGGTGCTGACGTAGAGTTCTCGGCACCAGTATGATTATCGGGCCTGTGCAAAAAAGGGAATGGTGGTAAGAAGCGCACACACTAGTGCAAAATCAAGCATCGTAACTCCTAGTTTCCATTCCCAGAAAAGTTGATGTGCAAGATACTTCTAACCTGCAACAAACTTTATATTTGTCAGAGGGGCATGTACCTAAACACTCTGTTAACGGAACACAACCGTTACTTCTCGAATAAAGATTTTGAACATTTGGCATTCTAATGCAGGGATTGTGGCTGGGCCCTAACTCTAACAGGCACGCATTAATAAGCAATCATTGCAAGAAGATAACGATAGAAATAAGCAAGGCAATCGAAATCAACAAATGAAAATAGAAATTCATCAGTTGCCCGTCGGTGTCACCTTTAAAAAAGCCCACCAATACATTGGTATATAACCACATACTGTCATAGAAATTTCGTCGGAACCACGCGTTTGGCGTGTGCTTTTATTCTTCTACTTTTCTTTTTTTTGTGGTCTTCATGGTATGTACTGCTGTGAGTGCGCCTGTGCGTGTTCTTAAACTGGTTATTAGACAATAGATCATCAGTTGCAGTACACCGTTTCCGTAAGTGCACTTGTTTGGTGTCCTTCTGTCCACTGCTGCTTCGAAAATATTGTACTACCTCTTAGAAAATCAGCGCTGTCTTGTTGGCACGTTAAAACGCACACGTGGCGCCATCAAAGGAGTTGGCTGAAAAAACTCTAGTAAGACAGGACCGCTAGACCACGTTGGAACGCCTACGGGATGCTTTGCGACATGTTATTGTCTGTCTCTGCTTTGTGAAATGTTTTTAGTGAACTTTATAGCAAAGAAAATAAAGTTCTTGGGCATTGTCAGAGGCGAAAAATCAGAAACTGCGACTGGAAAACAGACTGGTGTTGTGAACGAGCAGTGATGCCATCGGCGAACTTGCAGTATACTGCTTCAGCAGTGTTGTTTTCGTGGATGGGTACTTTCACAACAGTGCGCTGTCAAAAGGACGGAAGCTCTGCAGTGCAAGCAATGTTTTTCGTGTTGAGAAATGTGTGCGGCAGCAAATCACATTCTGAGAGTGCAGTCAAATGCCACTCGCAAGTCAAACAAATCTCCTACGACGTGAAAGTACAAATAGGTGTGCGTTAAAATTGCGCATGCGAAATCTAAAATCAGCCTGTTGTCTGCACGCTCTGTTACCACTTTTAGCGACAATTAGTATTTGAACATAACTGAGCGTACCTTCGGACGTGTGGCAGCTAATTTGAGCGATCATATCGATCACGTAAGTGGCACTAACACATTTTGTGGCATGCTAACGTGCAGGTAAGGTGCTGTTTTATTTCTTGCTTTTTATTTCGATGTGTTGAACAGTGCTAAGAGCAAAACACGTGCATAATCTGTAGTTAAGAAGATTTTTGTAGTTCGTCCCCTCACAGGGGAGCATCTCTTTTGTGCCGAGGTTTTCTTCGCGAGATTAAAATGAGTGTAAGAGAACAAAAAGCAGGCCGCTCTTACACAACTATATATACCAGTTACCTTGTAGCCTTGTAGCCACGGTTTCGAAATTCTTGAGTCTTCACTTCTGATAAGTGTCGCTCAAATGAACGTAATAAACTAAATAGTTCTAAAAATTGTAACAGAGAATGTCGATGGAGCCAACGTTTGGACAAGTGAAATTTTCTTCGTCAAGGCAGGGCTGTTGCTCTGTCAAAGACAAGTAAACTTGCCGAAAAACTTTTTCCTGCGACCGTTTTTCTCAAAAATCTTCTGATCACTTCAAGACTCTCCGTGCCTCTGAACTCGGTCTTGTTTGGTACTCAAGTTTCGATATAAAATTATGCCCGCCGTCGTAACAAACGTGGTTGAGTCAAATACGGCGCGTCCTATTCGCTATCGTTGATAATATTCGCAATGGTTCGGATATTCTTGCTTCAATAATTGCTCATTATCTCCGTATGTCGGTTAAAGTGAATTTTATAGATTGCCACTTTCACGCTACGTGTATGTCTGTTTTTTATATAAAACGTGCAATGAAAAAGTTCATTTCGTTTTATTTGTGACGATCGAGTTATGTCTTATTGAGAAATTAGTCAGCTTCACTTCGCCTCTTCAGAACACATGAACAAAATAAAAAATGAACAAAATTTGACGAACGGCCGCATCGCCCAAGTGGCTAGCGGTCTTTAAATAGGGCTAGGCAGCGATACCCAAAAAGTATTTCCATACACAAATTGAAATGAACGGTTTGGAAGCCTAAAATACAGATACTGAGACACAATTGTAAGACACGTAGCGGGATATTTCTGGGATACTTTTGCAAAAAGACGAAGAAAGTACTCCGGAATACAGATACAGCAATACAGATACTGAAATACTTTTCTCTAATTCCGGCATAGTCATACTCTGTACAGACATTTATTGTGTGCAGCATATTATTGAAGTGCGTAGCACGCTGAAACTTGCAAATAAATTTACTAATTATTTTATCACCGTACTCTGAGTGTCATTAAGGCAAAACACTGCACATAGTTGGTAATAACGACA